CGGGGGTCTGCCCCTGGGGGGGGGGGGGGGTTAGGGAGGAAAACGGGCAAAAATATTAGCTAAAATATTAACAAAAATATTAGCAAAAATACTAGCATAAAAACAAAACTGGTAAAAGCTGTGAGGATATTTAAAATTTTCTCACTTTTACTGCAAAGAAGAGGAACAAAACTGATTTTAGGGCAGAAAGAGCAAAAAAAGGACAATAAAACAAACAAAACTGGTAAAATCTGTGAGAATATTTATAATTTTCTCACTTTTACTGCAAAGAAGAGGAACAAAATGCCATTTGAAACTCCTGAATAGTGTCTTTTCCTACTAAAACTGACAAATATCATAGTTTATGAGGCTGCAAAGTAGGGGAACAAAAACGACTTCAGGAAGAAAAACAAGCAAAAAAACAATATATAATATTCCAAAATCAACAGCAAACCGTTAATAACAGATTTTTTCACATTGTCCCACTTTTACTGCAAAGAAAAGGAACTAAATGCCATTTGAAACTCCCAAATCGTCTCTTTTTCCTACTAAAACTGACAAATATCATAGTTTCTGGGTCTATATTCACAGTATCTACAGAGTTTTCCTAAACCAATCTGGATAAATCCCGTTTTATATCGAGCTGGCTTCCATATTTGAACGTAAACAGTAAATAATTCCCCACCGGAGCTGTTGGAGTCCTGGCCCAGCAGGGCGGGGAACCCCCCGAGCTCGTTCTGGTTTCGGGCCGTGGTCAGGAAGGCGGACAGGGCCGAGTAGTTGGAGCGGGGGGGCAGCTGCAGACTCTTCCTCTGGAGCTGCACCAGAGGCTGGTTACGGGCTCCTGGGAACAAACACAGGTGGAAATACCACCATTTTAGGGCTCTACACAGACACAAACAACACCATTTTAGGCTCAAAGGGGGAGAAGTATACAGTACCAGTACTATGTAAAAAAATGGTTAATCAAAAATATGTAGTGGAGTAAAAGTAAAAGTAGGGAAAAAATATAAACTCAAAATATGTATTGGAGTAAAAGTATTAAATTCATCAAAAATATGTAGTGGAGGAAAAGTAAAAG